GTTCTCGATACAGGAGCCCTGATGGTGATAGTGCTCCCTCTAGTCCTAGAAATAACTAAAGTAAAGAATTCATCCGGGTTTGACCGCTGCTCTACCTGTTAGGATCTTGAAAGCTGTCATGAGATCATTAATCGATCTTCTATCAAGGAGACTATGAAAACCGTAAAGACGCCGTCTTTCGACTGCGCTTGGTAGAGAGTCATAGCTCATTCGGAAACCATCGCGCAGGCGCAAGTTGTACAAGTAAGCTTTCTCCACAATTTCCAAGAGCTTAATATTCTTTTTTTATGTATATGGCGAGAATACTGAAGTCCCATGCCACCACAGGTCTAACATAGGATTTATAGGCCTGCAGCAATACCTTGGGATTTTTCGAATTCAGTGCTTTGAAGAGAGTATAAATTCTGTTGTTAGCCTTGGAAACCAATGTCTTATAATGTGTTTCAAATCCAAGTTTGTTGGAGAAGATGAAACCAAGGTCCTTTATCTCTTGAATGACTCTAAAGTGACTGATTGGTAGCTACAAGTGAAACGTTCATTTCCGATCCTAAGAACTTTGGTTTTATCGGGAGCCAGGGGTAATCCCCAATTCTCCGATCAATATACAATATGATCAATAGCAGTTGACTGAAAAAAATTTGCTATTGCAACGATATAAATCTAAACAGGAGGGGTGATGCTCACGCACATACCAAGTCGCTCGGAGACACCAACCAGCCATCCAGCGTATGAGGCGCTTGATGCTCTAAATCTTTATCCAAATACTAATGTTCTTTGAAATGCTGGTATCGTAGAACTGCCGTTTATTCCTTGTCCTCTTCCTTCCTTCCCCTCTCCGACCAATAGAGCACTCCCGTATGGAGAACCAACTTATGGTTGGTACGCAGATCTGACAACACAGCTTTGCCTATCATGACCGAGTATAACAAACTCCGTCGGTTGCCAAAAGAAGTCTCTAAATCTTCTGCAAAAATGTTTAGTGTTAAAAAGGCTGGCCTGCAACAATCACACACTGTATCTTGTTACTCCTCTACACCATAGAAAGAGTGAACCGCTGATGAGCAGGGTAAGTGGCATCGATGGCTAGCTTTGTCCAAGGGAAGACTTCGTAAAATAAAGTCTTCGAAAATACTGCCAGACCCATCTGACGAGCCCATCGTTCCAGATCCTGAACACCCAGCAGGGAGACATAGAAACCGTTTTTGACAGCTATCTCACATGCTGAACGTCGTGATTCTTGATGTTCAGCTCCCACTGCACATACCCGTTCCTGTTCTCAGCATGTTTTTGACAACTGCACATTTGACGAACAGCTCATACTGCAGTCACTATAGAGAAGAATCGTCCCAAACCACGGTTTCGGATTCTACGGTCGCGTCCTGCTACACTAATGCAATCGCTATATCCTCTGATGGAGAAGAAGTGAAGTGAAGAAAACCTCGAATCCTACGTACGCCCCATTCTGTGAGGGGGGAGGGAGCACTCATTATAGCTCTCCTTACGCAGCCGGGAAAAACTTCGGAGAAGCTCGAACCTGTTTCCAAATAAGTGTCCGTATCATTAGGCTACGAAAGCGCGCAGTACGCGCAGTACTGCAAGCACCTGAATGTACTCATATTATTGCTTACATAGCAGCTTCAATAAAAAAAGAACACCTGCCTCTTTTCATTCGGGACCGGTTCTTTCTTCTTTCTTTCCATCCTCAGGTTTACCACCAGGATTCGAAGCATCTTTATCTGTGCAAAAATAGTTTCTGTTACGTAAAACAAATGAAGAATTACCTCAGGTCCAACACCTTGTAGAATGAAGGGCGCTGAACAATACGTCGTCTAGATTCTTCCACTCTCTCCGCTCACCCTTTCAGTGGCTCGCATAGAACGCCTTCTTTCTCTAGTGCCTCTCGACAGCAGAATTTTTCGCATTCCCGAGAACTTTATTTTGCTTTTTCATCCTTATTCGTTAACTTGTGCCCTGTCATTCCTATATGAACTCCATTACTCTCCATCTGTGGATCCGGGTTTTGCCTTTAAGTGAGGAACCCTGGATTTCTTTGTTTTGCCTGCTGAAGGCTCACAGAAGTAAATAAGGACCGCTATGACGGTTGGCTTAGAGCCCCATTCTGCCAAGCATTTAGCCAAGTAAAGATTTCTGTTTTGTGGCATGGAATGCGGCTGCTTTTCCAGGTATTGTCTACCTACTAATTATCTGTCTAATTCACCTGTGTAGATTTTGATCGTAGCTGGTGCTCTATCTAAGTTGATTATTGGTCAAGGCTTCGCTGACATGCAGTCCAATTCTCTCTGCTCTGACCCTCAGAGATGCTGCTTACCCGATGAGCTGAGCTTTAGAGGGTAAATAAAATGTGGAATATCCTGTGGGTGGGTGGGCATGGTTTGTGCAATAGCCTGGATGGCTCCTCATTCCAGGTCACCACACCAGGAATCTTCTTCCTGAATCGAAGACCACGCTCTTATGAAACAGCGTGATCGCGTGATGTTTCGGTATACCATGTGATCTCCAACACCCTATGCAGCAACTATTCCACAGCAGCCCAAAACGCCACTTATACCTCCGTTATGGGGTTCATGAAGCTCCAGTTCTCGAAGCACAACGTGAGGAGAGTTTACCGATGCACAGTTTATTAAATCAATGAACACAACAACAATTGCGTTACACAAAATATGAATAAGGAAGGGGGCGAGGGTAGTTGAGTGGCCACCGGCCACGAAGCAAAAACTAACACTGAATTAATCTGTTGCGCTCCCGTCTGTCTACCTCTGTCGTGACTCTTCTTAAAAGGTCGGTTTATGGGTGGGCGCGGCGGTCCTGGCGCGCTTGGCGGAACGGTCGAATGTTCGCGAAGCCGCTAGGGATGCAGAGTCGGCGTCGACTCTGGCCTGTCTGTCACTTCTACGTCCTGCAGCCGTCTCGACTGGTCGCTCCGCTCCGCTCTCCGTTCCAGTGTCAACGTCATCGTCCATCCACGCTGGTCGCAGTCTAACATCAACGAGCAGTACCACGCAATGGAGCCGCACTACTACAGGCCGCCGACTATCCCAGGTAACCACTAGAGGCGGAGGTGCATCCGAACCTCCTGGGCAGCCGGAGGGGAGGATGTTCCCAATGCCCCTAGTGGGCTGTTCCCTCGTGGCCCGTAGGCAGTTGAGGCAGGGTTCGTCCGCGTAGGTTAGGGCCGTACCATTATTCTTGTAGTAGTTATTTTTCTGTTATTGTTTTGCAGTTATCATAATAGAGAGGTAAATAAGTCTAATGATTCTCGTGTTTGTTGCTCATCAAGAGTGGTCTGACCACGTCATTTCTTGAATATTTATCTATCAGTTATTGATTGATATGCTGGTTGTTGGTTGAATAGTGTGTGTATGGCGTAGTAGCCCGGGCGCCCATAGGAGCAGGTGTATATACTTAGGTCGGACGCGCAGATAGATCGTAGGTAAGAGGGTTAACATCTTGAATACGAATATTTCCTGCAATCCGTAAACGATCTGCTCCAGAAGGAAGCGGCGGGCTCGGAAAGAAGGATACATTCTTTATATTGTGTAGCGATGTTAACTCTCTGATGATGGCAGTAGTGAACTCCTGCTGACGTCCAAACCCTCCTCGTTTGAATGAATGACTTTTAGGTGTTTGAAACGTTTCTTGCGTTGCCGACATCACTGCCTGAGTGAACGAGTATGTTGATATCAATTGTTGTGTTATCATTCCTGTTATCGTTCACCTGTTAAACCTGTTGTTTTGTTGTGCTGGAAGCGATAAGATATATCTTATCGCTCTTATGTATCTTATCAAAGTACCTTTATCTTATCGTGCCTATAAAGGTGGGGTAAGCTGGTGAGGTGCAGTTTTAATCGACTTCATTCGACTTGCCTCGACTTCTACTTTCGCCTCGTCTCCACCGGTCCTCGCCAGCAAGCCCCACCCCAGTGTCGTGCAGTGTGCGGTACAGGGAGATAAAGATCTTGGTTGATCTGTGCTTGTCATACCCAGGACACCAACCAACCAACCAAACAAACCTACTACTAGATATTTCCAGGGTCCAGACGAATAACAGTTCCCACTGATTCCTCCCCATTTATATTATTTGTTCTTCTGGTTGGTGGTTTAGAGCGGCTGATTCAGCTTCTCAAATAGGATTATTTCCGTCGATAGCATGCCTGATGAATTACTGTGATGACGTCGTATATCTGCCCCAAAACATTCAAGGAGCCAGAAACGCACTGCTCCCAGCTACGCAATATCCTGGTCTTAATCCCAGCTACCAAGGATCACATGTATTCTGAGGTCAGAGATCCCGCTTTTACCAAACAGCGTGATATAGCGTTCCGGTGCACACTTCCGGTACCCTCGAGCAACGACTTCACAATGGTCGAAACATCTTGCTAAGGACCTCAGATGTCCGTCACGACTGTCAGACTCCGCCCACGGACGACAGTTTTGAACTCTTTCTCCATTTCATCGTGTGTTGCTCTTTGGCATAATCGTGCTGCTACGGCCATCAAAACGCTCTCACTATACCTAAACCAGCAATCGAAAATGGAAAGATTTTGTTTTGTTCCAAGAAGTAAGTTTATGGGTGCTTAGAAACAAATCAAAAGACAATAATTTACTGTATACAAATGCCATGAAAATATTAATGCAATGAATAATATGCGATTTCACTGAGATGTAAATTATGGCTGGGCATAGTCAATGCACATTATATTATGCTAACAATCACCGTACCTTGGAGAACTAGCTTCTGCAAAAACTGTAACAAATAACGAGAAGGAAAGAGCGCAGTACAAAGTTGAATCTCGAAAACGTGAGAATTACTAGGTCAATGATGGGCAAAACTTACTTTTAGCTCAATATGGATATGCAGAACGTAAGAACACTACAAATTTACAAGAATAAGCAAGAATTCAATAAAACATGTTCAAGTAAGTGAGAATATAGCCACTTGAGCAAAAATTATCGCAATTATCATTATCTGTCTGTGCAAGTCACCGTTTGCCAGCCTGCACCATACTGTGCACATCTGCAATAATTGTTCGAGCAACCTCTAGAGCGACTTCCTCCTCTTTGAGAGTAGACTTATCGAGATACTTGCGTAATTTTTGTCGAATCCTAGAACAAAGTATATTGTAGGGGTACTGGTATGGAAAAAAATTACAACGAAACAAACTTGGATGGTGTTGTGGTTTCCTGTGCAAGCGAATCGTCATACAGAACGCGATACTGACCCATACAATCAACTTCGGCAAGGTTGCTATAAAAAGGCGATTAGCAGAACTAATTATCATCCATTGAACAACTTGGAAATTCCTGAACCAACTATATATGTAAATGCCGAAAAAGGCATCATGAACAGACCACAATTTTTTTAGGGGGAAACTAATATGGTAACAATGGAAAAAACGCACAGACTCCTGTTACTCCCGCCTCGTAAGCATAGGAGAAGGTTGAGATGACCTCGACGGCACTCTTTTGAATTCGGGAATTTCGAAATGATGATCGAGAAGTAGTGCCTGCGAATCCGAGGACGAAGACCCACACTTCATTTCACGATTAGGCCGAGGTAATTCGATCTGCAAGCCAGTAAGATATTCTGCAGAAAGTAGGCTTGAAGCAAAAAAAAACAGAAAAATTCGAGCAAATATGGGAGCGGCTGAGCAACCGAAGGTATTCATTGGGACCAATAGCAGAAGGTGATATCCTTCCGTAAGAAAAAGGAAGAGAATTTTGTGGGAAATTAGATTTTATTCTGCTTTGGCTTACGCTTCGGCGTTTTCGCTTCCCATTCCGAGTCTCAAAGTGGTAAGAGTGGTCTACTCAATAGCTCCAACAATTTATACTCAATAGCTCCAACAATTTCGAAGACGGTTCCCTAGATTAGCAAACCAGTATTGGTTACTAAAAGACCGGAGTGCAAAAAGGATTGCAGTAATCAGGCCGCAGTGAAGCGGAGTTGAAACCCAGTAGTACAATTTTGTACAGAATGACCACTACATATTGCCTCAGCCTTTACCTTAAGGAAAAAGTAAAAGCTACAAAAATCGAGAAATGGCGGGAGTTCGCGTGATATGGCCATATACTCTTCCCTTCTATTCACTGTACGGTTCCTAGCCGATATGCAACTTTGCGAGTCGAAAACTTGGCCTGGCAGTAGGTGAAGCTGAGTCCCCTGTGATTTCGATTTGCAGGGTGTTGGAGACTTCCGCATATAGGCCAAGAACAATACAGTTAATAGCGTAAGAGCCTTAGCAGCTCCGACAGGGATCAGCGCGATTCGGATGAATCATGCCAAGGATCGATGATGACGTGAACCGTTCAGGAATGCCCGACGAGCAGATCTGGAGGAGGAGCCTCACAGGAGTCATTCTGGACCGTACCCGTCACCCTGCCAGGCCTCGGGCCTGATGCCACGCTTCCAGTCCACCGAAGCCTGCGGCCACAAGGGCCATTTCTCCGATTCTTGTTGTATAATAAATATTATATGAATATTCGGTATTCACACAACAACGGAGAATCTTAGTGGTAGCAGCGAGGGCGTCCTCCAGGCGGGGATTGGTGAGTTTTTTTTCAACTTGTTCTTTTTCCTCACTTTACCTCTTAGTTTGCCTTCTTACTCACTTTTCTTCGACGGCTTTTCTTCTTCTTTCTTTAACAACGCTCACATGGGCAGCTTTCGGATTTCCTTAGAACTTTGGCTAGCTGCGCTTCTGCAATACTTTTTTTCCATAGATTTTAGGCATCGCTTGGTCCGTCAAGTATTTCCCGGCCGTATTTCTGACCAGCTTGTGTCTAGCCAAGAAACTCTCGCCTCTCTAGTTTTCTTCCACTTCGAGCTTGTTCTCCCTCTTTTATGAGTCGGCCTCACCATCGGGTTTTTTTGGAATCATCACAACCCCATCGAACGACTTCTTTTTCAACATACCGAAGACGTCTTCCTACGTTCTTCCTTTATCTTTCCCTTTTCTCTTCCACTATTTTTTCTCCCAGCGGCCCCTTGGGCCCTACGACCATCTTTCTGATTCCCGTAGAGGGAAGGGTTATTTCATGGCGCCATGTACAGGTTGATTATTTTTTTCTTTTCTTCTTTTTTTCCTTCGGATAGATACGTGAATTGTTCGTTTCCGGAATGGTATTGATAAGGTTTTCGGGTATACCCTGGGGATCGATGGTTCATCCCCTATAGCTCCAAGCAACCGTGGTATGATGTAGAACAAGTGAACGTCGATGCGCACAGGTATTTTCAGGTCAGTGAAGTGATTTGTACGTTACCAGTTCTTTATTTTGTTCTTCATTTTTTCCTTAGTTCTTGTTTTTCGGCCTTCAATTGGGTACTACAATACATTTTTTTTCTTCCTTTTCCATCCGTTTTTTCTTATATTGCTGCTTCGTTTGCTCCTCCTCTCTCTTGTTTTATCTTATTTAGTGTCTGGCCTTTGTTCTTCTCGTAGTGAGTTGCATACAAAAGTTACTTTCAAGGCTGCGCTGCATAAAACGGTTGGTGGCGGCTATGTTTACGTTTTCTAGCGCTGCGGCATAGCATTTCCCAGGCGCGCCGCCGCCTTATCAGCAACATCTCAACAACTACAGTACCCCCGGCATCCACAACTTTGTGACCAACGTCTGCGGGGGGAGCGGTGTTTTCAAAATACATGTACTGTAAGCGCGCTTTTCTCATCGCTGTAATGCTTTTAACGCGTCTTTATCTCTCTTCAGAGGAATTCGCGCATTACAGCGCCGCACTTCGCATTTTTGCGCAAGCATTTTTTTCTCGTGCACGTACCACATAGTAAGCCACGGCCCGTCACCCTGGAGCACACTTACTTGCTTCCATGCCGATCACACGCAGTCTTGCGAAATCTTCGTCTTCTCTTCTCGGGTCCTCGACCCAGCTTACTGATACTAAGCCCTCGAAGAAGGATCCCGACTTGTCTTCATCTCTACCCAGCTTCGAGGATCTTCAGGACGACTCACCCTCTAGCGGTCGCGATGTCAAGGCTTTGCGTGACGCTACTTGCTCGGTCATTTCCCAGGTATGGAACGATACTCGAGCCACTGCAGCGTTGCTGTCTCGCAAAATTAATGACGGTAACACGGCTCTCACCGAACGCCTCAATGAGTCGTTTGCTGCGGTAGGTCGTCGTCTGGATTCTCTCCCTGTGGTGGCCATGTTTCAACCAGACTTCTTCATACCTGGATCCGACCACCGGGAGCTTCATTGTCTTCCCTTAACGCAAGATTCAGTCAATTACCTGTCTCAAACTCGCGGATTCGACAGACGCCAGGTATCCGTCAAAGACTTCGTCTGGGTTATCTCTCTCCGCCCAACCGCAACGGCGTTGGATGCAGCAGACCCCGAACACGTCTTACGTCGCGCTCGCATCCCGCGCCCATCCGCCCTGGACACGAGTATCCCGTACTTCTTCCGCGTTCACGAGTTCATCCTGGCTACCCCCGCACCGGCTCAACGTAATCTTCTCGGCATGGTAGTCGGAGTAGCGCGACGTGGACGAGACGCGCAGTCGGTGAACCATATCTATGCGGCCTTTGAGGGCTGCCCCGACGCGATCCGCCTTACACAAGCTATCTGCGCGTTTCCATTCTCAGATGTCGGACGAGAAGATCTTCTTTTAGCTGATGCTAGATTCAACGTTTCCTGCGCGATGCGCTTCTCCCACCCGGCTATATCTGCGGAAGCGCAACGCACACTGACGACCGCCATTCGTCGTTTTCTTCCGGCATACCCCAGTGAAGCCATGTTGCCACTTCATGTTTCGATGCTGCCGCAGCAGGACCGTCTATGGATCGACGAGCGCCTCGCTGCTTTCAACGGTTATCGGCAACGGCCGACACTGGCTCGACGACGGATGGGCAAGCTTTTCGCTGTTGCAAGCGCTGCGCTTGCCTCTCAAGCCTTCTTGACAGAGGACAAGAACACTCACGAAGTTGTAGCTTACATTCCGAGTACGGACGCGTTTCCGCTTCGGTTGCAGATCGAGCTTCGTTCAATGGCTTCGGAAGCGGTTGGACACGATCCCGCGCCGTCGATGTTTGGATCGTCAACTCCACCTCCATGGCTCGCGCGCGGATCGCAGGCACTCGATACGACTTCCCGTCTGGGACTCTCTATTTTCCGAGCTTCACGTCGATCCTCGCTCGCAAGAGACACTACGGTCCGCGGTGCTACGATTCGGCCGTGTTCGATAGTAGCAGAAATACTGCTGAAGTCCGCGTGTGCGTGCGACTCGCCCGCGTCCAGACCGTCACGGATCCTATATTCGAACTCCTGGCGACCGAGAATCTTTTCTGCAGCTTCGAGACTCCCAGCTTCTCCCTCGCACAAAACATTCTGGACATCGTTTATGCCGGCAACCCACGAGCCTCGCTCGACGAGCCACCCCCGCCCCGGTCGAACGTGTCCGTCGTCGTCGGGACCCGACGTATTCAACTACGCGACGACCAAGCGCGAGCAGTTGCGATGGGTACGGAGCGACACCCCATATTGGCAATTCAGGCTGCTTTTGGCACCGGAAAAACTATGGTGGGCGCTCTGATTGCAGGCCGGTTGGCCTCCGCAGGCAATCTCGTGATTGCGACTGCTACTACGAACGTGGCAATCGCCCAATTCACTGATACCCTTCTTAGTCTGGAGGAATGCCGGCATCATACCATTCTGCGTTTCGTTGCCGACACTGCACTACAGGAGGGCGCCCCGCTAACTCCTGTAGACCTTCACACGATCCTTCATGAACTATTGGAAAGGTACTACGATGATCTAAGTCCCCAGGAACATAGACGACTTGAGCGCTACACGCACGGGCGCCGCCTTATTGAAACCCTCCTTTTCCATCCTGAGGAGACACTCCACCTCACGGACGAGGAGCGCGAGGAATACAAGATCGCCGAGATGCGTAATTCCGAGGCTACCGAGGAAGCCGTTCGCATTATGCTCCGCGTTCAGTTTCCGACAATCCTCTGTCTCACCACGGCGTCGCTGCTCAATTCCACTCGTCCAGGGGGTCTTTTCTATGATATGTTTGCCTCCTGTCGGACAATCATCGGCGACGAAGCCTCGCAAATCCCGAACCTGTCTTCGTCGCCATGGTCACTCGTTTTCCGCAGGCACGCCACATCTATATTGGAGACGTCCACCAGCTCCAGCCGCACCTAAGATGCCCACGGAATGCACTAGCCGCTCAGTTAGGAAGCCGTGGCGTCATGGACATCCTACTTAGTAAAGACGTTCCACTTGCACCTCTGGTGACGACATTCCGAGCCCACCCAGCTCTCAATCAATTACCGAATCTTCTCGTGTATAGAGGAACGCTTGTCTATGGAACACCTGCGCACATGCGCACTCGTCTGATACGCCACCTATCCCTTCCTAACCCGCGAGTCCCCTTCGTTTTCGTCAACGTCCACGGGACCTCGCGGCAATCTTACTCCCAGTCTCATTACAACGAGGAGGAAGGGCAGTGCTGCTGTGACATCATCAGGGGACTCCTGTCTCGTAATGTGCCAGCGCAAGCCATCGGGGTCATCACATTTTACAAAGAGCAAATGACCCGGCTTCTGGACTATTGCAATCGCCAGGCAATCGCGCTGCACACAGTGGATTCCGTGCAAGGACGAGAGATGGACGTCGTCATCCTCCTCACCACACGATCGAACGTTGACGCGACGTCTGGAGATTTTCTCAACGACATTCACCGGCTGAACGTGGCTTTAACCCGGTGCAAATACGGGCAATTCGTCTTGGGCTCCCTTCGCGCACTACAGCAACTTTCACACTGGAACCGCGTAATTCAGTGGGCCCAAAGCCACGATGTTATCATTGAAGCAGCCGACCTTCCCGACATTTTCGCGTAGAACAGGATATCAATAGTAAGTGTTTACTTTATATACCTATATGACACTTTCTTTTGTTTTCACTTTCTTTCTTCCATGCATTGCTTTCTCTTTGTATACGTTCACCCGTTCTCGCTGATCCCCGGCCATCTTATTCAACGTCCGAGGACGGACGTTTTGGTGGAATGGGGAGGTGTAAGAGCCTTAGCGGCTCGACAGGGATCAGCGCGATTCGGATGAATCATGCCAAGGATCGATGATGACGTGAACCGTTCAGGAATGCCCGACGAGCAGATCTGGAGGAGGAGCCTCACAGGAGTCATTCTGGACCGTACCCGTCACCCTGCCAGGCCTCGGGCCTGATGCCACGCTTCCAGTCCACCGAAGCCTGCGGCCACAAGGGCCATTTCTCCGATTCTTGTTGTATAATAAATATTATATGAATATTCGGTATTCACACAACAACGGAGAATCTTAGTATAGAAGGGAAAAGTGTATGGCCATAAAACGCGAACTCGCGCCATTTCTCGACTTTTGTAGCTTCTACCTACTTTTTTGCGTAAGTTAAGGTTGAGGTGGTAAGGCTCACATAAAATAAGACTATTATTGCAAAGTCGAGCCCGTTTCACAGCAACCGTGATCGGGGTGAATCTTATACGCACTCCAGTTTATGATTACCTAAGTGATTTGCTAGTCAGGGAACTGTTATTAGGATTGTTTAGATTCTTGAGTGGACCATCACTGAGTGCTTCCAAACCAGCCCAGGCCCTGCCGTTGGGAGAATTTTCGTAAAGCACAGTCCGGTCTCCACCACCCCTTCCCCTCCTTGAAATTCCTAATTGTACAACCCCTCTGCCTCCTTGTCCACCTCCGATCCTATCCTTTCTACCTCCTATATTCTTCCACCTTCTTACCACTTTTCCAAGTTTTCCAACTGTTCCAGTATTATAGAGAAAAATCCATCCAGAGACGGTGGGGCAGGGAGTGGGGGAAGGCGCGGGTGGGGGAGCGTTAGAGATATATAGCGCATAAACAGGCAAGTCAATAAGCGAAATTATTTTTCTTAAAAGCGATTACGATCACCTCCTCACCCCAGCACCCAAATATGATCCTCCTCGCGGGGATCCCCAACGTAAAATGCGCCCCGTTAGCGGTATTAAGGCTCAAGATAGGGCAAAAAGCCAAAACGAAAGCCGAAGCAGAATAAATAGTAAACGCGGCCTGTAAGAATCCTGTAAGGGATTCGTTCACTTATTGCATGTTCTTGCAGAAAATACACCATGCAACAAGTTAAAAGACTATGTAGACGAAAAACTCTCTCACCGTGTTTCGAACTTCTGTTTCTAGCTCCAGCAAAAAGTTGTGATATGCCGAAGACTGAACGAATTTCCCAAGATACCTCTGTAATTCCAAGATGAAAATGATGAAATACTGTGTTTTCCATTCAGTTTTCAATTATGACATTATGCATCATGCTGTCATTGAGGAACAAAATACGAGTATGAAAACGTTGATTGTAAAACTATTGCAGGATGCTAATAATATCAGCCTTAGTGTACAGAGCTAGTCCCACCTCCTTCTCTCCTGAGGAAATTTGAGAAAATTATCAAAAATAAAGATAACGTTATGTTCGGACGAAGAATTTCTCAAACTCAGTAGAATTTTCCATTAACTTTTGTCGCCGAAGAGTTTAACGAAGCTGCTGGAATGGGGAAAACACCAAAACAACACCAAAGACATACATCGTGAATTCTCAGAAAGCAGTATTGCTTCGCGGAATGAAACGAGGATTGCAGTGGGTCGTCCACCTATCAGAACATATCTCCGATTCCATTCTTCTGCGAGCCGTATCCCCAATTTGAATAGGACTAATTGCTTGCATAGAAAAGTACCTTAAATAGGTACATAAAAGAGATATCCTGGTGTAATTCAGGTAAAAATCGGACATAACGAAACAAAAAGACACCATACTTGTCATATATAGACATTGCATCCTCAAGAGCTTCCTCATCAGGGAGAGAGTCGTAATTTTTTTCAAAAGCATTGCATGCTAAGAGAAACTGGAGACAATCGTGATCATGACGATCGTCGACAAACTGTAAGAAAAGCATAAAAATCATTCTATTTCTCATTAAGAAAAATATCAAAATTACCTCCAAAAACGCATTTAACAAAGCCGGAACATACAGAATGTCATCGAGACTACACCAGCGAGAGAAAACTTGTAGCTGATATTTCTTATGGTATAAACTATTCTCAAAATCTTTAAAGTACCTATAAATAGGTTGCTCTATGATTACAAAAGAGCTTAATGAACAAAAAAGTGCCCAAAGCATTATGACCTACCGTAAGTCAAACAAACTGTGAACGAAATTTTTCGCTTCATCGAAAATGTCTGACGAAATCGGCTGTTCCGATAGTCTGTCTGCAATAGAGTTATAACCGTATGAGAGCGAATGTTGCAACTGAACTAAACAATTTACCAAATATGCGTTCTGAAATCTTCTTTGGAAGAGATATGCTGCAAGCAGCATCCGTATCAATATATCTGCTGAATATATTGCGAGCGTCGAGAAGAGCAACTGTAATTTGGAACCTTCTCATATTTGTACAACGCACAGACTCTTGCGTTCGTCAAACTTTGTTCAGGGGAAATGGGCAAAATAATGGGAGCAGCGAAAGTAAATACGATAGCTATGAGCAGCACTTATATGGCGAAGCATGGAATAAATTCGGAATTAAGCATATTTAAATTATAGAGATGGTTTTTCGTTTTATGAGGGAAAGTTTTCCATAAGTCTGGTTAAAAGAAAAGGCAAACAAGAGCAGCTTACAAGAAAAGGCTCATTTGTTGACATATGAATGAGAGCATGCTCCGAAGCAGTAGAGGAAATAAAAATACTCAATACCTTTTTTGAAAGTTATGATTATGAATTCCGTGAAACGGTGAAATAACAACATAAAAATCGTTGCACAACATGGTAATAAAAGTAAGTTATAACGACTCACGTGAATTTTCAGCAGTTTGTGCACATCGTGCTCTCTCCTCTCCCAACGATGCCTTGAAGCCCTCGACATGTATACAAAATTTTACAAGGTTCAATTTATCTGAAAAGCACCATTACAGATGACACTGAAGAAGGCGAATAACTAGCTGTGAGACAATGTCGGAGAAAAAAGTTCTCAGAGTAGTGAAAAGCGTCTTCTTACAAGAGATCGGTCCTAAGTTCCCACACAATTTTTGGTGGAGACTTAGGTGCATCGGTAGTCTCGGATGCTGATAGCGAATATGCTGATCAAAAGTGCTACAGGGATCTTCCAAAACCATGCTTCTGGACGGTTAAAGCTCTATGTAAATGCAGTGTTGGCATGTGAGCACAGCTGAGCTGTGCCATGTCAGTGCCATTGGCATACTGATCGTGTCTCGCTTCACAGGCAAGAAAAAAGGGTTTCATTGGCACGAAAACTTTTGTCTTGTCTTCTACACTCCAAATTTTGGCATACCTTCAAATGAACGAACCAACAGAGCGAAGTCAAGCAGATGATGTGTGAAATATAGAATTGGTCACTATGTTCCCCTCGGACACTTACTACATATCCGATAGGTTGAAGATCAGCATCTCAATTTAGTCAGAAATTCGTGCCGGGTGCAGTTTCACTTCGTTGAATATAGCATCTGGTAAGAAGTAAGAAGTGGTCGTAGCATTCTACAGAGAGTGATATAGCATCTGTTTGGAGAGGAAACGCCTGCGCACTGCGATGAAGAGTGAATTGTATCGTTTCTTGAACCCAACTAGAACAATCACTTGCATCAACACCATACCAAAACACCAGCGATACACCAAGGAATAATGGCTTCCTTCCAAGGTCACAGCTATGGAAGAAAGGTGCGAGCGAAAAAAAAATAAGAACTTGACACGCCCAGTGCGCATCGACGATTCATTCGATAGACTAGTGTGTGCCCTGCGCAACCAAACTAGCCGCCACAAAAGGATAAAGGATAAAGTCTTCGCCGTTGATCAATCCCTTTGTGGGATGCGGCACGCATTCTACTTCCATTCAGAATCGTAGTGGCTTATTGAATGCGATGTGGCCTATACAATGACTTGCGGTGGCCAGCCGATGTACAAGTCAGTGTTTTATCCTCCCAGACGAATCTGGTACCAATTTACCGTCCCCGGAGGGTAGAAGGCTTGGTTGGGCGGGAGTCGACCCGGGATTCGAACCCGGCGCCGCGCGAGTGGTAAGCGCGCCACTTGTCACTACACCACCTCCGCCAGCAGCCCATGCATTTCACAGTTAGGTCCGCGTTCAGAACCTGCGACTTTGACGATTAGCAGAACACTCAAGAGATGTGATATTAGTTGTTGCGTAACTCCACACAAGGTTGACAATAATATTTATTGCTCGCCTGACGTTTCGGTGAGTTCACCTTCTTCAGAGCCTGAAAGGGTGGAAGTTGACTTATGAGTACTCGATCAAATATCTCACATCCCCACATAGACCTTCGAGCCTCCCCCCCCTCATCATCGTCAATAGGGAGAAAAATTATCGTACCTTCCTGAGTCACTGGATCAGCCACGGCTAGCACAGAGGGATGTTTTCGGAATGATCGCATTCAGAACCCCGTCCAAAAGGCTAACCGTATACATATGGGGGCTAACTCCCGCGTTATTGACAAACATTCTCCCTATTGTTGACGTGATGAGGGGGCGGGGAGGCTCGAAGGTCTACGTGGGGATGTGAGATATTTGACCGAGGACTCATAAATCAACTTCCACCCTTTCAGGCTCTGAAGAAAGTGAACTCACCGAAACGTCGGCCAGCAATAAATATCATTGTCAACCTTTGTGGAGTTACGCAACAACTAATATCACATCACCAAAATGCCAAGGTTTATTGAGAGTCAAACATGGCGACGCTCAAGAGAGAGGATACGTATCGATGTGAAGCCACTGACGTTATAACCCGCGTTCAGACTTCGCGATCGGATGTCTCAACCGAATTCGCGCGACCCAGTTCGCCTGAGCGATTCGATCGCGAAGTCTGAACGGCTAAGTTGATTCACTGTAGCATTTAACCATAAGTATCCCGATGGATGTCATCCAATCAGTCGATATCACATACATGTGACCTCAGACATTTCTCGAAAACGCAGAGTAGTCGGAAACTCTACAACTCCAGAATTGCAAGATATGAACGTGGCCCAGCGAATAATAAATAATGAATATTATCGAATACTGCTTTTTGCTACTAGCAAACATAAATGATGCCATTCATCAAATTTTGAGGGATCCTAATATTATGCATCCAGAAAAAAAGAGCAGCGTATCTGAGAACCTACCATAACATTCCAAGAATTGTATGAAAAATGTTAATGCAGCGGAGTCCGCCAAAAGAGCATCAATATTCTGGGCGAGAACGCAAGAGTTGCGAATGGTAATAGGTTCTATTCCATCACCTGAAGAGATTAACACTTTACTCATCTACATGCTTTCCTTCACGCATTAAACGGGAGTGAAAACGAAACAAGAAATACTTCACCATACCCGTATCCAAAGGGCTGACTTCTTTCTCAGTGTGCAGAGACACATTATCCGTAGCAATAGAGATCTTTTCCGCCCCATTTGAAATACGTCTCACATTTACTAAAAATGTAATAGAGTACAAAGAATCGAACGAGGGCTAAATACATCTTAATATTAGGCCACGCTCATACAAAAGATCTTGAAGAAATAGCGAATTCTTGGGAGGAATATGATATGTATTTATTTAAAGATCTGAAGAATCGTGGAAATGAATACTTCAAGAATATTGACTCAATTCGTCAGTTCATCACTTTTGCAAGGTATGAACGCAGTCTTCCTGAGGTACCGCACGATTTTTCAGTCGCAGTTTATGTACGCTTAACAAATGTTGGACTGACGCATAATTGTTGGAATAATTGTTGAGGCTTTTCCCAACAAATTTTAAGCAAATTGCATTGGGTAAAAACGATAAAATTCTCAACAAAAACATGTGTGAAAGGAGTCCGGGCGTAGTCATCCAGCCACTTCAAAAACTGCTTCCCTTGCTTGACAGTGGGTGAAGATGAAGAAGTCACGATACTTCGGGGCTATCCACGCGATCCAATCATCCAAACAATTGTAGGTTTCGTTCACTTGCTAGCTTTTCAACTACCGATGATCATAGTAGTCTGTAGGAGCTTCGGTCGGTGAATATGGCTGATGTGGGAGCAGATCCCATCCCTTTCTGGTGATCTATTTGTCGACACGACGTTCAACGCGAGGACTTGTGGTGGAAGACAATCAGTAAAAATAAGTACGCTTCTGCTTTGCCGTCGTCGGAGTGTTCGAGGAAGAAAAATCCAGCATTTTTCAACATTTTTCCGGGATTTTTAACACGACCGACGGTTGTATTGGTTGACACTGAAGTCATCGGCAAGCGCTCGTTTCGTGACGCTTTCGTTTTCTTCCACGGCTAGAAGGGCTGGTAGTTTAACTCCGAAAGTCGCATTCTTCCTACACCCGCAAGGTCTGTGTCGCCCGTTTTGGACCTCTCAACTAACTTTTAAGTTGGCTTTTGCTGGTTGTTCCCCCTAAAAGCGTCGAAATCGCAAAGACTCTTCCAGCCTTA